CTTATTACGAAATTAATATAAACAATAAATAACACATGTATTTATAGAAGCGACTTTGCGGTTTCACGTATATATTAGGTACATAGGTACATCATTTGACTGTAACAAACTATATCTGTGATACAAACTGATCCACACATTTTTTACCATAAATATATGCCGTTTAATTATACTATTCACATTACCGTTTAATACAATTTGTTTTTGTATTGTCAAGAAACAATATCGCTTATATCTTTACCTGTAAAAATTACTTGCAATAATAAAAAATAATGATGTATATTTTGAAATTTGTGCAACGGCATGATGGTCTGTAAATTATATAATAAAATAGGGTAAATATTAAAATCAAAACACGCTGTGAATATGATTTATTGTTATTACAACTATACGCGCGTACCCATGCGGCACGCAACGGTACAATTATTGCGCAAACGTACAGAATATAATAGAATAAACAAGTATATAATAATATTAATAATTATTATTATAATGACTGAATGTTAAATTAATGTTACGCTGTTAGTCGGGTTCGGACGCGTACGAGAGGAAATCTAGACGGAGAAGAAAGGGCAGACGGACGATGAAGAGAAGAAAGAACGCAAAAGAAGACACGGTCGGTTCTCTCAAACGGGCCCTTATTCCTTTCAACGGCATCCAATCGTTTCTATCGTTCCGAGATGTCGTTTCGAGCCCATCATTTACAAGATAAAGCACATTACAATCATTTTACATCTAGTCTTAGCACGAAATGATGTACCTCGCGCTCGCCGCCATTGAAGGGCCAAGCATACCCGGGAAAGGCTCCCAAGGTCACCGTTTAACCTATTTCTTGATCATCGAATATACAGTACGAATTTTGACTAGCACATTGCGTAACTACGGGTCCTCTCTCTCGCGATCGTAGAGGAGTTCACCGAGAATGGAGAAAACGCCGAAGCTTCGACCGACCTTCGTTCGGAAGACAAAAGTAGAAGGGACCGCGAAAATAGACAAAGAAGTCGACGACATCGAAAGGAAGGCCGGTCACTGCAGACACCGGCGGTCCATTCGCGCCGTCGTATTGTCGTAATTACAATATAATCGATTCGATTGTAATAATTGACTGCTCATCGTCGTGCCCGTCGAGATATAAAGCTCTTCGAGAATGAGCTCTCGACGACACACGAGCCCGAAATGGCAAGAATCTATGGGTTTACTGAAAGAATAGGCGCGATACTGCCTCGTCACGTGCATACTCCTCCTCAAATAACATTATTCATCCCAACCAGCGTGATTTTCGAGCTGATCCTAAACATAGCATTGCTTATTCCATGAGTCGCGGACTGTTATTCATTTCGCGACGATTTTTCTCAAGGTGTCTCTTCGAGGCCATCTTTTAAGGCGACATTGTCTCGTGACGTATTTACAGTTATTTATAACATTATTCTTTCATACATCGAGGGAGCATGACACGGGGACTTTATACGTGCGTGTATGTGTATTAAGTGTATAATATACTCTGCAAACGATGTAACATTCTCTATCAAATATTACTCGAGAGTCTCAAGTATAACATGATAATATATGAATTTACGATGCTCGCGCATTATTTAACGATCTACTCGTTATGTAAATTTTATCGTAGACAGTTCGAAAAAATTAGAATTCTTAAATAAAATGCAATGATTATTCCGATTATTTTGTGATTATGTATTTTTATAAATTTCTATACTTAATTCTTATAATAAAACACTTTTTTAATAAAAAAATTAAAGTAAAAAATACTTTTTGAAGATAATAATCGCATTCCGATATTCATTGCCAGTGCACGTAACGTGTAGTATAGATTTTCAGTATTAGCAGTGAATATCGGAACGTAGCCTAAATCGTATATTCAATACAACTCGAACCGTTCTGATGATTAAAGCGCGAACATAAGTTTTGTTATTATTTGTATGATAGTTACATGTATGTAGTATGTGTACCAACGTGTAAATGTATTCGTATGTTTATACGTGCGCAATGCATAAATGTTTTCCGAAATCAAAAGCGCACTCAGTGTTGCGCGAGATACGCTCGTTTCGAATGCTCGATGCTCTTCGTAGATCGCACGAAGAGCACGGTTGATTCTCTTCAACTATGACTACGAGCTATCGGTAAGTTCGCGTGCGGATTGATCATATCATAAGCGGGGAAAGGTGGCAAAATCATAAACTTTAAAATTTCGCACAGAAACTTCCGAAAAATGTTAAGATATATGTATAATAACAAGAGAGAAGAGAGCGAAAATATCATTTAAATATACTTTATCGAAATATATCGTAAAATTTAAATTATTTTAATAATTGCTAAATAGTATATATGCTAAATATATGGTAATTAATCTTATTATGAATATACCATAAAATACTCATGGCTTTATAATAATTTTTAAAGTATAATAAAATAATTTTATTACATATACCAAATTTTTCCAACGCAGTTATTTAACCACCTTACCCTTCTTAAACCATACACATTATAGCTTCACTATTCGCTACGTTAAATCACAACAGTAACGATAATCATAACAACAACTTTCTTATCTTGATTGCATATTGACGCGAGGATGGAATCGATTCACGTATCGTCTCTCGTTCTCCTCGAATTCTCTTCCAAAAAGAGCGATCCTCGATCTCTTCCCAGCGTTATCGATAATTATATCATCCCTACTGTTTGCAACATGAATGTTCTACTGATTCAACGCTACGAAATGCACGAAGACTTATTACGAGTAATCGGTTAATGATAATGATTAATTCGTCAACCATTTCCAGCGGATCTTTTAAAAGGATCCACGTATGTCCTCCGCGTGTCAGCAAAATAACGATTTCATGAATCGATTATATCGATCATTCGTTCCGTTATCTCCAACTTCTCAGTCATTTTGTCCTTAATTGAACTTCGCATATTTTTGCGCTAAAGATATGTGTCGGTATCGACTTTAAAGACGAAACCGTTAACGAATTCACGATGATGTTTGTGCCCGTTAGTCTTGGCGATTGCGGCGAGCAAGTAGTAATTCTTAAACGATGTTGGCTTTGGCGATGGAGCTTCCCATCATGACTTTGTTTACAAAGTTTACGATGGCTGTGGCGGGTTGCTCTGGTTCCAATTCGGCGAACACGTGACACTGATTGTCCAATTTATGAGCGGGTTTCCTTGCCACGAAGCCGAAGCAGCGACTGGAAAGAAAAATAATAAGCAAATTATTTAAATTTAAGATAAATATTAAAATTATTAAATTTCAATTTAATGATTAAATGCTTAAATAATTCGCAATTTTTGTAAGATTTAGAATTATAATCTCTTCTTTTACACATAAATATATATAAAATTTATATACAAATAAAATTTTATAAAACTATTAAACAGATGTAAGTCAGAAAATATTTCTCAACTGTCATAATTTATAAGAAATCATAAAAATTCAGATGATTTTATTTCTTGTAATATAATTTCATTTCTTAATCAAACAAAAATTTTGAAAACATACTGAGCGCTAAGAGGTCTTCCGATATCTTCGCTGGTGAAGTCCCATGTGCGTTCTTCAGAGTCCAATCCGCAATAACTTATATTATTTGTGGGATAATGTCGACGGAAAAATAGTTTTCTTGCATTATCAGTCAAAGTAATGCCCTGCGTGGAGACTTTGAAGTGAACAATTGTGGCGACCGGTAAAGGCTTTTGCTCGAATAGATTGGTGATAGCTTTTTTGATGGCTTGTGGTCCGGTTAAGGACTCCGTGTCAATTGTAAAGAGATACAAAACATTACAAGCTGTAAAAAAACAAATTTAAAATATTTAAGAAACAATTTC